ACATAATTTTTTTTAATCATGTTACAAATTCAGTAAATTTTTGAAGGAATTCAGTATCGTGCTCTTAACTAGTTATTTAATCTTTTTACCGCTTTCTTAACAATCACTTTTCGATAGTTCTTGTAAGTTAAATGTACATCGTTAGCGAACGCAAATAACACAATGACAAATAAAAATTGGTCACGCGTTTTTGGGCTATCAGGTTGTCTATACGCCAGTATGTTCAACATTTATGTATGTAGTAGTAATAGACCGGACATCAGCAACAAAATTGTCGTGTGTAACTTTTGTCCTATAGGATATATCTTCGATTTTTGTCATTTAGTCTAAATGACATCATCGAAAGGTCAAGACGCATTTGTTTCATAAATTTAAAATATTTTTTTAAATAAAATATGCCCGGTTGAGCATTAAGGTAAAGTAATTCACGATATGGAGCAGAAAATGAAAATGATTTCGGTTTATTATCCTAAAAATAATGTATATTTACAAATAATCTATAAATTTTGTTCCTTCTGGTAGATTGTTCTAGAAGAAAGAAAAATTATTGTAATAAGTGCCCTCTGTTATCCAGTAAGGTTACTATTTATTTACAAATATGTTATAGTTCGGCCGTTCAGAGAATGCGTTCCTGACACGTCGCGATTGAACTGACGACGTAACTTTGTAATGGCGTTGCAGTTACGATAAAAATATTTTTGCTGGTTGTTTACCGTTTTAACAATTGATGAGTATTAAAATAACATTATTATATCAATAATAATCAATGAATGTTATAATTTTGTGCCAAACTGAGTGGCAAATAACTTGGTAAACAATATTTTTCTAAATCTATACTGCGCTATCATAAGGTTATGACAGCGCTTTATATTTATAGTGCTGTGCTAACAATAACAGGCAATAACAGTATCGTAATCTGTTCTTATACAGTTATACTTTATAAAATAATACGTTTTGTTTTTCTTTTAAAGAATTTGAAAATAATGGACTATAAGATAACTTTTATTGAATATAAAAATAAAACTACGACCAAACCGAACGCGCGAAAGAAAGTAGCATTTTTACATTTAGGTTGAAAATGGTAACCCCAAATAGCGTTATGGGCCGCCATTTTGTGAGGAAATGAATGCCACTACATTTAAAGAGTGGTTCCAGAACGTGCTTTTGCCCAGCCTACCAGAGCCTTCTGTAATATTCATGGGTAATGCCTCCTATCACTCGGTTCAAATACAGAAACCACCTACCCAAGCTAATAAAAAAGAAGAAATGGTGGCTTGGTTACAAACAAAAGGCATTGACACAAATATGCAGATGCTAAAACCAGAGCTAATTAAATTAGTTTAAGAAAATAAAGCGGCAAATGTGCGATACGAATTCGATGAATTGGCTCTTTTTTTTTTTTTTTTTTTTGCATGTGGAAATGCCTACGCATACCCGCCTCGCGGGGGCAAGGACGGGTTATGTCGGACTCGCACCGACTAAAACCCCATGGTGTTCCACCTTTGTCGCATATTGGCAGGGCTACGGGAACGCTTTCGCACACATCCGCGGCCCTACTAGCGCTTGCCGCCCCATGGCAGCACCTCCTCGGGAGAGGAAAATTCCTCCCCGTTCTCCTTCCCAGGTAAGGCGCACCAGAACACATGGCGCGCCTTCCTCCACGGCCTCCAACTACGTCTGTGCAACAGACGCCCCCGCGTCCGATGCACAAAGGCCATGGGGCCAGGAAAAACGAGCACTTAGAAGTACTAGCCTTCCCGACCCCAGCGGCGGATCTGGTCTATGGCTCCGCCGCCAACCAAGATTCGGCTGCGGAGGGTAGGGAGAGCGGCGCCTCGCAATACCGACAATCCTCTCCCCCCGCAGCCCCACCACCACCGCATCAACGGTGCGGCCCCGTTTGAGTCGCGAAGGATAGGGCGAGTGGCGCATCGCCATACCAACACTCCTCTTCCTCCGCGACTCCACCTCGACTGCAGCGGTAGAGGGTGCGCGAGTCCCCACTCGCTGCAGTCCACCAGCACACATCCGAAGTGGGCTCCCCAAGCCCACTCGGAGCGGCCACCTCAGGCCGGCCCTTCACCTCGGGCCAGCCACGTGGGTTCCTCTTTGTTCACCGTGGGAGACCAAGCCACGGCTACTAAGCCCCCCCGCCACGACAAGGCGGGAACCCGTTCGGGGGGGATGAATTGGCTCTGGAGTACGGTCATCGCGTTCTAAGAATTCCACCGTATCATTGCCAATATAACGCGATTGAGCTAATCTGGGCTCAAATAAAAGGATTACGCGGCCCGCTACAATACTTCCCCGCCATTCAGCACGAAAAAGATGATGACCCTATTAAAAGAAGCCTGCGGGAAAGTCACAAGAGATGACTGGGCAAAGGTTGTTGAGAAGACTAAAAACCTGATTGTGGAACATTTTGACCGAGATATCAGGATTGATTCTGTTATTGATAATAATATAAATATACATGTAGGCGAAGATGATGATGAAGACACCACCTCCTCAAGCGAATCGGAGTCTGATTAATATTCTGTATGCACATTCAATTCAATGTATTATTGCATAGAAATACAGATTGTAACTTTGTAACAAAGAATAAATAAAACAATTTTATTATATTATTACCTTTTTTTGGTTTCCACTTAAATTACTAAAATATAAATTTTAAATGATTCCGCCAATTTAAAACGAAAATAATCTTAAAAATAACGCGGCGGTTCATTTTGGAGGAACGGTAACGAACTCAGTGTTATGTTGTGCCCATCACTAGTCGTGACTAACTGATAGGTGTCAGGAACGCATTCTCTGAACGGCCGAACTGTAGTAATTAAAGACGTGCCTAAAACCGATTTTACCTTATATTTAAAAGCGTCACCTAATGGGAAATGGCTAAAATGTTTCAATGTTTTCCGAATAAATATTCATCATATTATTGCTATTTTTCGCTAGAGGGCTTAACACACGCGCGTGCTCACAGTTTTTGTATGCAAATGTTCCTAATGTCCGCTCTATAGTAGATATATATTTAAATCTCTTTGGTCCAAAGTGTATGTTTGCAGATAATTTTTTTAAGGCATATTAATTTTGTTATTTATTACTACATTTTAGAATAGGCTGTATATATTTGATGCCTTTGTGTAGTCGGTTGACATACCCGAAAAATGTCAAAGTCAATTTTTTTATTAAACCGGCTTTACGGCTCTGGGTACCTCTGGGTAGCCTTTCTGAGCCTATCATTTCTTTCAGAATCTTGATTTTATATATTTTTTCTTCACAATATGCGATGCATCACATTGCGAAGTTTTTGGGAGATTTCGACGACAGCTCAACTCGCCACTCAAGTTCATAAGGCGCCCAAGCGATCAAATTAACTTGAGGTTTATATCAATATCAAAGCACTTGTTTCGTCGTTTTCTCTAATAGTTCACACGCGCAGATACTTAATTCACAAAATCACATCACTTTTACGAATTAAAATCCACTTCAAACCATTATTCAAGCGACAAAACGGGAGCGACAGTCCGTCTTCGGCCAAGTCCCCACCAAAACTTCCGTCAAAGTCAATGATTGCTTACTACTGTGGAATATAGAGGTAAGGAGGACAATCTCCCATAGGAGAATAGTTGAAAATGTGTCCATCTGTAAGCATTAAATATGGGAGTTAAATATAATGACCACCATAAAATGCTTTGATACCCTTAGTTCTTTTACCAAAAATACATATATACTTGACACCAGAAAAATAAAGCCTAAAATTACAACAAAGTTGTGACTAAAAATTACAAAATTTTAGTTACAACCGCACTTCAAATTGTATTCGAACACCAAATGTAGTAAATGATCACCAAATCTTAGCGAGCAAATTAGTGCGCTATTTCTGCCTAAATAAACCACTGTGATTGCCATAAAATGTAAGCTTATTACCAAATAAATTATTATGATGCTATAATAAGTTATGTATCTGGCTTGCAATCCCTTCCAACTGCACCGCAAGCGCCGCGCTCGCCCGAGCTATATAATATTAAAAAGCCGAGCCGATATAATATTTAATTAGATATATATTTAATTAATATATGACATATATAATAAATAATATATAATATATTAAATATATATTTAATATTAGCCGATAAATAATTACAAAAAAAGGATTATTGAAATTGTAAGTTTTATTTTTTATCTTAGGCATAGCATTTGGTTGAATAAACGTAACGCTTAAAAAAATTTTGTTTGGTAGTGGAGACAATTTGGAGAGAAAAAAGTTTAAAAGCTTATTTACTATGTTTGGAAATTTTTTTTTTGCCGAGGGTAATTTACTTTAATCGGATAACGAGATGTTATTTTTTTGCATGTCATTTTATATTGAAATGTCGTTAATAATTTGGTGTTCATTAACTATTTTTGGGTTAACAATTATTTATTTGGAGTCATTTTGCTTAAATAAGTTAGATAGGTTATATTTACTATTTTTGTCTGTTATATGTTACTATATCTGGTGGTAAGTTAAACATAAGCCGTAAATAAGAGTATGATAAATCGCCCTAAAATACGTTGAGAATGGTTTTGAAAATAAAAATATTGAAAGCAATAAAAAAATTGTAAAAAGTTCTTTAAAATTTTGACTGTAGCTACAGTTGCGCCACCCTTATTTAACGCTTTCCTACGGACACTTTTTTATAGGTCTGTATTCCTTAACTCTCTCTACCTGCTCTACCACTCTACCTCTCTAGTACATAGTCAGTAATCTATGACTTAGCTTGCTACATATTTATTTATCTATGTCTATGACTCTACCACTCTACACTAGCTTGCTACACATTTATTTATCTATGCTCTACACTTTATAATTACTACTTTACAAAATATAATGTTATAAAAAATAAAAAAGAGCAGAGTAATATGTGGTAGTATGTTACTTGCTACCTTGATTAAGACGAATTGATCAAGATAATAGTATGTAGTTCTTGATGCAGAGAATCCGTCATTATTTCAAAATGTCTATTCATAGAATAGTGACAGTGTCTAGATTTATTTTACAATGTACTAGGTCTTCTTCAATAATTGTTAATGCAAGTACAGAGTGCAATGCATACAGGTACCAAATTACCCTAATAACTCGCTAAATGAATATTTAAAAAATCGATCATATATAATCATGTTTTAATAGGCACCGCTTTCCAATGCATTCTTTCCTATAAATATAAAAAAATTGTAATTTAACTTTCAGGTATAAAACACACGAACGCTTAAAACACACAAGAGCATTTAAAAATGAAAAGGACAAAATTCGAACTTATATTGTTCACCGCTACATTGATTATGTTAAAAATTATACAAAAGTGATAGAGAACCGATTTCCCGCCGCAATGCACATGTACAGAGTATTTAGTGTAGGTATTAAGGATTTCTTAAGAGACTTAAAAACTTACATCTCACTGAGATTAAAAATTACAAAGGATCGTGGTTTTTCCAATATGAGCCGCCAGGAAATCGAGTTGTTTCAAAAAATGCCATCTGATATGTGGAGAATAGCACCTGTATTAATACTATCTGCTATCCCATTTGGAAACTACATCATATTTCCTCTTGCGTAAGTGTCATTCCAATATAATTATACTATACTGTATGAAAATTCTTACCGCAATTACCTATTTTTACAATGTCAATTACCTATTTTTAAAATATCAGCAACATAAAAGTAATAGTCAACATGTAAGTATAGAGCCATGGTAGCTCAGATGGTTAGCGCTCACAGTAAAGTCACAAACTCAGGTTCAATCCCCACCGGCTCCAATGAAACTTTAACTTTATGTAAGTAAGAAAAATCATATTTTAATGAAAGACAATATTTAAGCACTAAAAATAAAATTATAAGAAGTGACAATACAAAAGGAGGTTGGTAGGCTAACCAAATGTAAAACATTTATCCCTAATCGGATTGATCAACCTGGAGTTCTTAATACCCTTCAAACAGTTGATGAGGAGGTAGTTTTATTTTACCACTGCATTCTGTAACCGTAGAACTTCCTCACAGTGTATGAGCCTGATGTAATGCTAAAGATAGTAATGTTAAAGGGAGGTAACAGATTAAATTTCTCTTGAAGAACATTCTGGCAATCTTGAAAGGAGTTTAGAACCTCTTGACATGGAACAATAGAAGGTGGATTGCATTAATGACTAGTCCTTCGGCTGACGGTGGCTGGTTTCTAGTATTTGTCATTTCATGTAGATGTACATTTTTATGGGCCTGGGCTAAAAATGTAGATGCACTGGTTTCAGTGACAATAAAAACCATGGATTTGTTTAAAACATCGTTTACTCCTTAAATATGATTAAATATTGTCAAGCAAGCACAAAATTTTAACATTTTCTCAAAACTGGGACTTACTACTAGACAATAATGTGATGATGTTATGTGCAAAATTCCTTTAGTTCTAGTTAATCTTGGTATGTAAACTGAAGTCCATTGTTAGAAACAATAATTTGAGGTAAGCATATCTACTCTAGGATGTTGAACAGATAGTATATATGGTCATTATATCAAGATTAGAAACCTAAAAAAAATTTTTATGTATGACACAAAAGGTACAAATGCGATGAAGACATTTCACTAATCAATAGATGTGACAAAATTTGAAAAACTAAATCCATGTTTTTAAAATAAAATAAAAATTAGAATTCTTAGCCAAACAAAAATTATTTCTTGGCATGGACAGTACTGCAGAATAGCAATTAATAAAGGCAAAGACCTATTATTACTGTTTTATCATAACAAACATTAATTCTACCTTGTGTAACTTTACTTTGTTCGCAGCTTAAACAAAATTGTTACAGTGTGCAAAAATGCTTAAAGTATAGTGTAAGTTTTATGATAAGTTTTAAATGTAATGCCTTAGAGTGTTTTCAAGACCAATATTTTACAAAAATTATCACAACTCATTATTACAATTAGTAAAATTACTTCAATTGTTGATGCCATCATGTGAAATGACTGCTAGCTTCGCATAAAATTCAAATCAAAGTGGTATTAAAAATAACTTTCGTATTTGTGGCATTCGTTTCTGCATCATCTATAAGGTCCATTTCCCATCAGCCCAAGTATTAAATGTGTTAAGCATAGTTGTAATTTAACTAAAAGACTAAATATATTTACATGGTAGAGCCATGCTGCAGCTATAGTTTGTTGCAGTTGTAGCATGAATGGGTCGGCTCGACCGGGTAAGTACCATGCTCTCACAGAATACCAGCATCAAATAGCAGCTTAAGGCTACCTGTGTTTCGTATGGTGAGTGTAGAAAACCGGAGACCCTTTTTACTGGAAACGAGGCATTCCATCTTAGTCCTCAAGGCTGACAACGCATCTTCATTTTGATTCATAAACGAGGATAGATGTAGATGTCTATGGGCTACAGCAACCACTTACCATTAGGTGGACTTTGTGCTTGCTTGTCACCCTTTTCCTATAAAAAAACAGTCTAGCTAACTATATTGGCTTAATAAACCATGCTACCACTACGCTACCAGGCTACAATGTATATCGTATATACATATAAAAACCAGAAAAACATAGTTACGAACACTATTTAGAGCAGAATTTTTTAAATATATTTCTCAAATTTCAAGCTCGATTTTAGGAACAAGAATCACCACTTAATCTCAATTTATGTATACAGCACACTTTTGTTTTATTTACAGATTTATAAAGCCAAAAACATTATTGTGCTCACACTTTTGGTCTATACAACAAAGAGCAGAGTTTTCAATTCAAGATTTAAAAGACAGATTAAGAAATAATCGGCCTGTTCTCCGGGCACTCCAATCAAAGCTAGATATTATACCAGACAGTGACATAAAGGAAAAGTGGAGGAGAGTGCTGGCTTTGTTAGGTTCAGGTGTCCATCCTACTCCAATGGAAGTCTTGGCATGTAAAGATTTATTCACTACGGAACCATATCACCTAGGCAGTTTATCTTATGCTCATATGGTAGTAAAACATTTATTCATTATAACTTACTTTTTGTGAATATATATATTTAAATGTCATTTTAATGACATTTCAGGGATACTTACTTAAAATGCATGGGTTACGGCGAAGCATATTTAGGAGAAAGAAGCTAAAATATAGAGCATTCTTGTTATTAGAAATGGACAAAGCGATTATCAGAGAAGGGGGAGTAGAAATACTGAATACAGAAACGCTTAGAAATGCTTGCCAGATACGTGGATTAAACAGTAGAAATTTAAGCAATCAAGAGATGAAAGATTGGCTGCATAAATGGCTTTATGTATCGGGAAACATTGACGGAAGTGCATATTCATTACTACTACATTGTCCAATTTTCTTTGCATATAATCATCCCCAGAACTGGGTTTTAATATACTAAAATGCTTCTTTTGTTTTAAAATTTTGCAATAAATTTATTTTGATATTTTCGGATTGTTGTTACTATAATTGTTTATTGTTACATAATATATTCTATCTGAATTAAATGCTTATTTATATTTTTGGTTGTATTAATAAATGGAATTGCTTATTTTGTGCACAATACAAAAGCTTTAAGTGTGTTATTAACTTGTGATAGAAAATGTTCAAACAATATGATTCATATTTTCCTGATCAAATAGTGTTTGTTTAGATATTTTCGGTAAGCAAATACCCGGCGAACTTTGATTCTAATAGAAATTTTCTAAGGCTGTGTTCAATAGATTATTCCACTGTTTCCCTCCAAATGTCCCACTGGGTGGACAAAGTGCATGGACTCATTTAAAGTGTTTTCTTCTACTTTTCTCCACTAATCGTTTCTTGGATGAATTTTTTATAGAATAAGGGTGACTAAACAAGCACAGTCCACCTGATGGTAAGCGGATGCTGTACTGTGGCCCTACATTCGATTAAGAATCAAAATGCAGATGCGTTGTCATCCCTGAGGACTAATATGGAATGCCTCGTTTCTAGTAAAAAAGGGATCTCTGGATCTCTACACACAACGTACGAAACATCTTTTATTTATTCCCATAATTTGCTGAGACTCGCATGGCGAGTCGTCGGCCGTACGTATGAGAAGGATGCATCTCGCGTGGTGAGTCCCTGGCCGTACAAATGAGGAGTTTGCATCTAAATGCATATTTGCCCATTTTAAGGTGTTAGAAGCGAATTTTACTTATTAAATAGATTTCAAACTAGTTCTAAAAAATAAAACTTCTGCGTTGCTAACCAAAACGACTTTGAATAAACACTCCGATTTTGTTTTGAAATGGGTAAGTAAAAAAATATATTTTTGGCTTAAAGTAGATTTTTCACACAAAATATGTGTGCGCCATGATGGTGGTAGCACCTTATTTTACTGCAAAATAATAAATATATTGGAATAAATCCTTCGTGATCATTTGGTACCTATACGTCGTTGCATACTTGTAGGAACGAGTCTCTTTTTGTTTTTTCTTTCTCTTAAGTTTTTAGTTTTAAAGAATCATTTTTATATATGACTAGCTTGCCAGGCAGACGTTGTTCTGCCCTTTTCGATGACCCTTTATCATGTCCTATTAAAAATCCTTAAACTCGCAAAAAAAATTGTGGCCCACATTTTTTTATCAATAGAAATGTTTTGTTCAGAAGTACTTGCAGAAGGCTTAATAAAATTTTTTCAATTTTGGGTAATTTTTGTTTACTATCTTCTCTTTCTTGGCGTTTTTGGCTGTTTATAAGCACCACTGGGTTTCTTATTGTTGTCCATAATTTTAGTTTTCTAATTTACTTATGCAATATTTATATTAGATTGTGCTCGAGTAGAGGTACTCTCTGATGACGTTAAAAATAAAAAGAAGGAGAACCGTACCTAATACACGTTACAAGACGGCGTTGGGGAATCCCCGGCGAACATTTTATCGCCGCTACTGAATGATGAATAATAAAACACACATATCGCTATCCGTCAAATTACAACAACACTACTAACCCACACAAAGAAATTAGAGGAATACCCTAAGTATGACTTTCGAATTTCTCTCAACTGAGTTGCCATGATTAAAGTCGGGTTGTAATCTATCATATTTATTTTGAAAATGGGAGAAAATTTCAAAGTTCAGTTCGATCGAGATTTTCTGGTAAGGATTCGAGGGCCCCGGGGCACTGCCCGCCTAGCCCCTAGGTGGCTACGCCACTGATTGTACCCACAATCAGTGGCGTAGCCCGTAGTAGCACTCATGGGCAAAAAAATTATCCTATCTCTCAAGTTGGACCAAACTGTACACGGTGTGCAAATTTGATAAAAATCGGTTGAGTAGTTTATGAGTCCATCGCGGACGAACAATGTGACACGTAATTTATAGATAATAAGATATAGGTACTTGTTTTTACAGGTGCACTAGAGGTACCAAATGATCACGAAAAGTTTATTCCAATATTTTTATTATTTTACGGTAACTTCACTTTCTTACGAATTCATTTTACAGATCTGCACAAAGTCAATAATAATACCTCCATTATAGAAACTCGAAATGTTTATTCTGAATCGGGAAATAAGTTTACGGAATATGAATCCAGGCAAAGAAAACTAGGGTGTCAACTGATAGCCAAGAAACCTCTGATACGCAAGATAATCTACCCGATTCTCATCCTGTCGATGGATCGTACTACTCTAAAGAAAAAATCCGGGAGACCTGTAATACGCCCAGAGGATCTACCCGATTCTCAGTCTGTTGATGGATCATACCACTCCGAAGAAAATACCAGGAAACCTTCTGTGATACACCAGACAATCTATCTAATTCTCAGCATGTCGGTGGTTCATAATACTCCGAAAAAATTATACTACTACTACTACTACTACAGTACTATGACGGAATTCCAGCATTGCAACATGAATCCAGAAAAGGAATCTCAATGCAACGAATATTTTGGGAAAATAGTGAGATGTCAAAATTTCACGGGAAAACACACGTTGTAACAAGGTGAAAGAAGTATTTGAAATATTGAAAGAAAAAAACACTACCTTATTGATATAACCCTTTGGTAACAATAAGCAAACAAATCCAAAGGAAAGTTATACAACAATATCACCCGCTAGACTTACATCTACCAACGCGAACATAACGACGAATGAGGTGCGCCCTGGGCATCTTGCCCAGTGAGCCATTAAGGTAGCGCAGGGCGTCACACCCCACCCCTCATCTCATATTTTTTTTGAAGTGAAAACTTCTTTAGCGGCGTTGTACACTTTTTTGTAACGAGTAAAAAATGTTAAACTCGCGTCAGGGCACGTGACCCTCATCGAAAATTCGTAAGACAGATGGAGAGAGAGAGAGAGACAGCCAGCGCAGCGTAGAAGAGGAAGTTAAAGTTGTTCAATAGGGCTATAAATCAATAGCACGCTACAGACTATAAACTGTAAACTTCTAGCGCGCTATTAAATACGCTATGTTATAGCGCGCTATTTATAAGAAAGTGTGTAGGAGGCTGGCAAACGCGTTAAGTCTAGCACCACGCTATATCTCGGAGCACGCTACATTACGTGTCGTTTATTGGACAGATCGCGTGCTATATTATAAGAACATTATTTCGTAATAGGTACGCATTTTAGATAAATATAAAATAAAGTGGTAAAGAGAAAACAATGAACGCTCTTTCATACTTTACAGGCTTACGACTTTCTATAATCCTAAAAATATTTTTAAGACATGTACTTTTTAAAACAAAATAAAATTAATAATTTTTATTATAATTGATGTAAACGTTATTTTAACCTTAATATAAATGATAAATCAAAGGTGTACTTAAAAGTGTATTGATTGTATTTACAAAAATAAACTATTTACAAACACTATTGTATGTTATTTACATTTAAAAACATTAGTTAGGCTTCTTTTGTAGCGGACAACTGTGTCCTTTGATCACTTATAAATATACAGTATACACTAACTAAACAACGTCTAACACTAAATTAGTTCGCGCGCGATGAATAGCGTGCTGCTAGATTAAATTTGCGTCACACGTCTACTCCCAACAGCGTTGCTGCTGACACTCGATATTAATAGCGTCAAAGCGTCATAGCGCTATAGCGCCATGGCGACTACTTACATAGTACGCGCTATGCGTTATGGAGAGATAGCGCGCTATAATATGGCGCTATGCACTATATTAACCACCATTAGAGGAAGTATCCCTCTCTCTTTCTACGGCGGGGCGAAAATGTATGCCTGCGCCTGCTGTTTCGTTTAGGCGGCGCAGGGCGCTTGCGCGAATGTGCCTAATATAAATTTTCATGTTTGTGTACGATAGCGCAATAAATAAATATTGTATTCTACCACATAAATGATAGTACTTTTATACTGATAAAGCAATTCGTGCAAAATTATTCCCTAACCATTCCAAAATATCAAAAATGCACAACGTTAATATTCAAGTTTTCACTTCTACCGGCACTCCCGAAGTGCAACCCGTCGTTTTTTTTATGAATAAAATTAAATATTTACCTGACACGCGGGCCACGGTTTTATGGCGTAAAACAATATTCAAAGTTGCTGATAATTTACAATTTTTTTGTTTGTAATTTTGAAGAAAATGCAATAAATAGTTAGGAATCGCGTATCAAGTTCTAGGCCACCAGTGTGCAATTTTAAAAAACTCGCGACGCGAGTCCTTGGCAACGAAAGGGAGCTGCAATTACGCTGGTATTCTGTGAGAGCGTGGTCATTCCCCGGTCGAGCCGACCCATTCGTGCTACAACCATAATATAGCTGCAGCGTGGCTCTAACACGTAGAGTTGAAGAAGGTTTACTTTATGTTACTTTTTATAGTTGTAGCACAAATGGGTCGGCTCGACCAAGGAAAGACCACGCTCTCACAGAATACCAGCGTAAAATAGCAGCTTAATACTGCTGTGTTTCGTATGGTGAGTGTAAAGATCAGGATACCCTTTTCTACTCGTTACGAGGCATTCCGTCTTAGTCCTCAGGGGTGACAGAGGGTGACCTGCGTTTTGATTCTTAATCGAGGATAAATGTAGATGTCTATGAGCCACAGCATCCACTTACCATCAGGTAGACTGTGTGCTCGTTTGTCACCCTTATTCTATAAAAAAAACTGTTCAAACGTTACGAGCGGTTTAATAAATTACAAAGAGTATAGTAAGTTATACTCGTACACAGGAACGACGACCGAGTGAATGAAATTGTGTATTAGCTTCGATCTATTGTTGATCGAAGTCTTTTAGTTTAAAAGGGTTGTGTTTACCTTCTACAAAATTATTTTGTTAAGATTGTTTATGTCTATAAACAGTGGTAGAGCCACGCGGCAGCTTTGCTGTTGCACGTATGGGCCGGCTCAAACCGGGGTGGTACCACGACCTTACAGAATAACGGCGTAAAGTGGAAGCTCTGCTTCCGCGTTTCGTCTGGTGAGTGCAGGTGGCCGGAGGCCCAAATCCCCCCCTCCCATCAACATGGTAGCGGAATTAAATAATGATAGACTACCCCAGGAGGGTACCAGCACCCCTGGAGAATCCCTCGCTGAGCATCCACGACCATGTTTCTCTACTTCGGAGCGTGGGTGCTCAGGCTGCCCCGCGTATTCTGGGGGGGGGGCAAAATTCCGCTCAAGACTACAACTGCTCGGGGCAAACGGAGCAACAAGACCAAGGCGACCCCTGCCACGCTGTCCGTGAATTTCTGCAATATCAGGGGACTTCACTCTAACCAAAACGCCGTCCACTACCATTTCGAGACGGCGAGGCCGGCTCTGCTCTTCCTGACCGAGACGCAGGTGTCCTCTTCGGCTGATGTCTCGTTCTCTATCTCCTACCCGGGGTACATACTGGAACACTCCTTTGTGCCTCGGGCTGGAGTTTGCGTTTACGTCAGAGAGGACATCTGTTCTCGACGCCTCGGCAGACTTGAAGGTTCGGACCTGTCCATCCTTTGGCTACGCGTAGACAGCGACGACCATCCGCGCGTCTACGGGTGCCTCTATAGGTCCCATAGCGGTAATGCCGAAACAGACCGACTCTTCGACCACGTCCAAATGGCTACAGATTTGTTGCTACAGCAGATCCTCTCCGCAGAGATCGTGATCCTCGGCGACTTTAACGCCCATCACGCCGAATGGCTTAGTTCACGTTTAACCGATCATGCGGGGAGATCTGTTCATGATTTTGCCTTGGCATATGGTCTGACACAACTGGTTACTTCGCCTACGCAGATTCCAGATGTGGAGGATCATGTACCTTCCCTGTTGGACCTTCTACTGACCTCTCACCAGGACGGATATCAGATTTCCGTCGAAGGCTTTTTTCCCCTTTAGGCTCCTCGGACCATTGTCTTGTCCGGAGTGTGCCACTCATGCTGAAATCGCAGTTGCATTCTGCAGGCTGCCGCAGTATTTGGCACTATAGGTCAACCGATTGGGATGGGATGCGGTCTTTCTTTGCATCCTACCCTTGGGGGCGAGTTTGCTTCTCGCCGGACGATCCCAACGTTGTTGCGGATTCTGTCGCTGATGTGGTACTTCAGGGTATGGAACTTTTTATTCCTTCCTCTGTGGTGCCCATTGGAGGCAAATCTGAGCCATGGTTTGGTCGCTCCTGTAAAATAGCATCATGCTATAAGCACCTGCTACCGAGCCTGGGCTGACGCATCAGCGTCCCGGGATGTAAACACCAGCGCTATAAAAAATAAGTATAATTCCGCCTGCAGGTCCTTCAAAAGAGTCGTTGCCAAGGCGAAGTCAGAACACATAGGCAGAATTGGCGAGAAACTAGTTCGCCTTCCTTCTGGAACCGGTGCATTCTGGTCTCTCGCCAAGGCTGTCCAGGGGAATTTCTGTCAGCCATCTCTTCCATCTCTGCACAGGGAGGACGACTCACTGGCCCATACCGCAAAGGAGAAAGCCGATCTTCTAGGCTCTTTCTTTGCGTCCAACTCGACTCTCGATGACGGGGGGAGTACGCCGCCGACCATCCCGCGGTGTGAGTGCTCCATGCCGGAAGTGCAGTTCACACAGCGCTCGGTTCGAAAAGCACTCCTCTCCCTGGACATCCACAAGTCGAGTGGGCCTGACGGAATCCCCCCAATTGTGCTGAGGACGTGTACTCCAGAGTTGAGTTTTAAGCGTTTTTCTGGTACTCCTACTCCCTAGGCGTAGAATTATGGAAGACGGCTTTCGTCCACCCGATCCCTAAAAAAAGGCGACCGCTCAGACCCGTCTAACTACCGGCCTATCGCCATCACCTCCTTGTTCTCCAAAACAATGGAGTCTATTGTAAACTGCTAGCTCATGAGGTACCTTGAGGATCACCAGCTGATAAGTGACCGCCAATACGGTTTTCGCCGTGGTCGGTCAGCTGGTGATCTTCTGGTCTACCTAACTCATAGATGGGTGGAGGCAATAGAGTCCAAGGGGGAGGCATTGGCCGTTAGTTTGGACATTGCGAAGGCGTTCGATCGGGTTTGGCACAAAGCGCTTCTTTCGAAGCTCCCTTCCTATGGGCTTCCCGAGAAATTGTGCGATTGGATCACCAGCTTTCTTGCAGATCGGAGCATCAAGGTCGTTGTAGACGATGCAAGCTCCGATTGCAAGCCTATTATTGCTGGTGTTCCACAAGGCTGCGTGCTATCACCAACGCTGTTTCTTCTGCATATCAATGATATGTTGCAAACAAACCCGTAACATTAATTGCTATGCAGATGACAGCACTGGTGATGCTCTTTACACCGGCCGAGCCAATATTTCTCGGGAAAACGTCTCCGAGTGCCGGGACAAACTTGTGTCTGAAGTCGAGTCTTTGTTGAACAGAATCTCAGATTGGGGGCGACTAAATCTAGTCCAGTTTAACCCCCAGTAGACACAAGTTTGCGCGTTAACCGCTAAAAAGAACCCCTTTGTCGTATCTCCTCAGTTTCAAGGCACTCCCCCTGTTGCCTCAGCCAGTATCGGAATCCTCTGCATTGACATATCGAGTGACGTGCAGTTTCGTGGTCACTTGGAAGAGAAGGGCAAATTGGCCTCTAAAAAAGCTTGGCGTGCTCAGCAGAGCGGGACAGTATTTCATGCCGGCACACCGCCTGCGACTTTACAAGGCGCAGGTTCGGCCGCACATGGAATACTGTTCCCATCTCTGGGCTGGAGCTCCCCAGTACCAGCTCCTTCCACTTGACCGCATCCAGCGCAGAGCGGCTCGAATCGTCGACGACCGAGTGCTTTCTGATCGGCTCGATTTACTGGCACTGCGAAGAGATGTTGCATCTCTTTGCATTTTATTTTGCATATACCATGGAGAGTGCTCTGAGGAACTGTTCGGATTAATCCCAGCCGCCAAATTTCGTGAACGCACTGTGCGGCAAACGTCCCGATACCATCCACACCATCTGGATGCTTGGCGGTCCACCACAGTACGTTTTAAAAGGAGTTTTCTTCCGCGTGGAATATAATCTCTCTGTGGAATAGTTTACCACCGGCGATTTTTCCGGACCGATACGACCTGGGGACCTTCAAGAAAAAAGCTTACTCCTTTCTAAAGGGCCGGCAACGCACCTGCAATTCCCCTGGTGTTGCGGTTGATCATGGGCGCGGTAGTCACTTAACATCAGGTGAGCCGCATGCTCTTTTGCCCCCTCTTCTATAAAAAAAAAATAATATCTAATCTTGAGTTCTTTGAACAAAAAATATTTGATGTTCTCAGTTTCTTTGATTATAATATTTAATGGTCCCCAAGAATGAGAGAATAAATGGGCATGCGTCCGCCCTCGTTTAACGAATGATGTAGCGCGCTAATTCTCTTTCACTTTTAATCTATCTTTAACTAGTTACCCTTGTTTGCGGCCACTTTAACATAGGTCACCACATTTCATCGTGCTCAGAAAAAAATCGGTTTAATTTTATATATAAATAATGAATACGAGTGTACGTCATAAACGTATAACTGTAACAAAGTAGATGTTTGTTTGCATCTGGCTTCGGAGAGGTTGCGGCCAAGTGCGCTACTGCAAACAAACCTTTCCAAGTTCTTTACATTTATTCATGTGAAGTAGTACCTAAAAAAAAAAACTAGATATTATTTTAATTAAAAATACTTGCAGCCATATTTTGATAGGTACCCTTTTCATGTACTAAAATTAGATTAAAAACTATATGAACGTAGTAATCTTCTAACCGGATCCCGTACTATAAGTAAAACCGTTCGAGGATTATTATTATAAAATATAATATGTAAAAGGTTTCATTCTTAAGTTTTTATTAAAAAGTTTTGTAGGTTTATCAAATTAGACGTTTGTAATTCTCTGACAAGTATGAATTCTTGTAATTTCTTAAATAGGTATAAAAATATGAAACTATTATATTTATTATAAATATAATAGTACTTTTGTTTTGTATTAATAGTCTATGGTTATTATTACTCTTTGTGTAAGCCGATGAGCTGTTAATAATGAGTGACTTAAATAAGTTAATTTATTTTGTCGTATTATTGCTACTCATAATTTTTTTTAAAAAATTGGCAACCAAGAAACCACATAATAAAGAACAACAAGCTGTTTGGAGGCTTGAATGTGCATTAGGAGTCATAGCAGAAGCGGAATGTCCAGTTGACGGAGGTTGGTCTCCATGGTCGCCTTGGTCTAATTGCCACGGAACATGTGATAGTGTAGGCCATTGCAAAAGAACCAGAGAATGTAATAATCCACCAACCTCCAAAGAAGGTACGCCATGCAATGGTTCAGATGAAGAAATTGATACTTGTTATATAAAGAACTGCTCAGTTAATGATTTTCGTGAATGCATTAAAGGTGATTTGATAAGAACAGAAGCCATGCACCAATTAGAAGCGGTTCCGGCATTGATGAAGCAATGTCTAGAAAAAGAATGCTCATTTGAATCAGTAAAAAAAGCATTAACTAAAGATAATGCATGGCAATTAAATGCTGAAACGATATGGAATTCACTTCAATGTGTGAAACACAATATAGGCTGCCCTGTAATCGGAGAGTGGGGAACGTGGGGTTCATGGTCAAACTGTGGGGCGCTGTGTGGTAAAGGTTTCCACTGGAGACTCAGGAGGTGCGACACCCCTCCACCATCTGATGCACGTTTGGTTTGCATAGGAAATCCATTGCAATCCGAAGAGTGTGAAGGAGATCAATGCGCTATGGATGGTAAATATTCAGATCAGAATGCTAGCGGGATTTGGAGTAACTGGGAGAAATGGTCTGCTTGCTCAGAAAATTGTGGTATAGGCGTTAGACGTAGAAGGAGATCTTGTGTGGAGAACCAAATGACGCGTATTTCTGCAACATGGGGCACACATTGTAGAGGCCAACATGATCAGCTGGAAGTTTGTGAAAATGAACAATGTTTGTTGAACGGCGGCTGGTCAGGATGGAGCACATGGGGAAGTTGTTCTCAGAGTTGTGGTGGCGGTAAGCGATTTAGGACTCGTTCTTGTACCAGACCTATACCATCTGGAGGTTCTAATTGTGTGGGACCTAAAAGTGAACAAGGCTCTTGTCATTTAACACCATGCGAAGTACACTCACATGTAGTTGCTTTATTTAATGGTGACTCATTTTTGCAATATGATTTTCCGCAGAAACGATCAACGCTTTTTCATTCTTTCATACGGTTTATGCCCTTATCCCCTCATGGTTCACTAATTCGTCGCGGTGATATAACTTACCCAATTATTAGGTTGAGTCTGCAGAAATGGTATCTTTGTTTAGATGCACGAGGGTCCTCACAGTCTTGCAACATGCTACGGATTTGTTCAACTTATCCGATTGAACCAGCTACTTGGCTTTCTGTAATGATCACTGTTAATAAAGACGGCGCTTCACTCAGAATAAACGACGCACTTACACCAATACGAGGAGCTTTCCCGTGTGATCCAGAATTAACCGATGACGCACTGTTTGTCACGGTCGGTGAAAAATTTCACGGTGTAGTACAAGAACTTGTTGTCAACTTTATTCCTTTAGACATGACAATAAATAATCGTAACCGCATGATACGATCAAATTACGTTCCCAGCTCTGCTTCAAATATAGCTTATGAAAATGCTAATTTTGAAGAAGCCTACCTAAATCTTGATAATGACTATTATTTACGCTTGCCTTGTTTTGATAATCAAAATGAATGGACTTTAAGCTTGACAATAAGACCAAAAAGACAAGTCGGAATTATACTATTTCTTCCAGGCGTCCAACACGATCACTGGCTCTGCTTAGCGTTACTAAATATGCGATTAAAGGTAAAGCTATCATTAGGTGACTTTCGATCCGAAAGCACGAGTTCTACGGAGTGTCATCCCGGGCAATGGTTGGATATAGTGTTGTCTAAAAAGGGCGAAAGTGAAACAATTGAGGCGACTATAAATGGAGGAGAACGACTTCATGTTTTGTTAATGGATAGAAACTCCAGAAATCGACGTGAATTAAACAGATTATTTCCGCTACAGAAATACTTATTACAGAGTGCGTTACAGCCAGAAAGCAGTAATACAAGCAGTGTTGTAAATTACACTAATTGTGTTTTATGTTATGATGAGTTTTATATTGGAAGTGTACCATATGAATTTAAAAATAAAATGCCGGAAGATTTTGGTTCATTTTTTGGAGTTATAGCGGCGTTAAGTGTCAACGGCAAGTTATTGGATGTACACAGCTTTGGAATTGAGCGCAACAAGGATAACATAATGATATTATCGTCTCGAACAGCGAGTATTTCTGGTTTCTATCATGAGACTGTTTGGAGTGCAAGTAGTAGTTTCAATTTAACTTGTCTTCACGCCAGAACCAAAAGAACTCCGAATAAGGCCTGGTGGTTTTTTCTAGATACCGCCGTGAATAGTGATTTAAAAGGTAAATCTGTCAAAACCCTTGGCGATGGCAGAGTTCTTAGACTTATTACAACAGCTGAAAATAATCATCGAGGTTTTTATACTTGTCGTGCGCATACAAATAAACTGACACGCAATGTAGTGACATATGGAGTAATTGGAGAGCTTCAATATAAACTACCAGAGCCAGACATAACTACTGTTGTTGCTGTTTTCACAACTATTGCCTTAGTGATTGCAACTTTAACATGGCTGATTATAGAAGGAATAAATGATTTACGCAATGGCTACGGTTTTTTTCGAGATGCTCATCTCTCGCCACAAGAAGAAGCGGAAGCAGTTTGCAAATATATAGATCAGAATATTAATTTATTTGAATCGACCGAAGCCGCTGACATTGCCAAAGCTAGAGCAAGACGAAAGGGCAGGTATCTTGCAAGTAAGTCCAGCTTTGCCGCGCAAGAGCCTGAAGGAATAATAGCATTTCAAAAGAATCTGTCAAATCTGAACAACTCTACGTCAAGTGAGCCAGAAGGACTGCCAGCGCTACCCGAAGTGAAAAGTATATTAACCGACACAGGTCATGATGTATACAGATGTGAACCGTCGTATGTCAGTTCACCGCGACATGGTTCTAATATTTCCTCCCCCATACGAAATCTGTCATCTTCTTCCTCTTTCGAAAGCTCTCCTAGAAAGATTTGTTCTCGTCTATTAATTACTAGAAATCAAAACACATCAAAAGAAAATTCTATTTCAAAAAGAAAACGGCATGCAAGTGCTAGCATCAAAGAGAAAAAAGTTCTGCAGTTTCCATCATCAGCGTGTAACAACTCTTCTCCGGCTCACAAAATCTTGCAAAAATTTCGTATGTTGGATCATAATCATAATTAATGGTCAAGAGTACATAGGTTTAAAAATATTTATTTAGGTATTATCATGATTAAAATCTATGAACATTGAGATTCTTACTTCATTGTAGTCCCATATCACATAACTTATCAAATTGTTATAAAAACGCGTTCTCTAGCGTAAATGTGGTTTTAAAATACCATTTCACAACTTGGTAGTGTAACTTCTTTTTGGGCTATAAGAACTTATTTGTGACATTCCTAGTTTTTTTAAAAATGATTTCAGGTATCCATCCCAGGGCTGCAGTAGCCTTTTACCGCAATAAATATTATTGACTAGCTTTATCTAGCGTGGTAGGACCACGCCCTCACAGTCTATGTTGCTGTTTCGTTTGGTGAATGCATAGACTCTTTTCACTAGATACGAGTCATTCCATCTTAGTTCTTAGGGATGACAATGCTTCTGTATTTTGATACTTAATTAAGGATAGAGAACATATATTTAGGCCACAGCATCCACTTACCATCAGGTGGACTGTGTGCTCGTTTGTCACCCTTATACTATAAAATGTAGGTTAAAAGGTTGTAGGTAAATCACAGTAATGGCTAAAAATATTAAAAAAGTATAATAAAACCAATTAACGCATAAAACAACCAATCATTTGCATTCATTTGATTGCCAATTGAACTATGAATATTCATTCAAAAATTATGGTACATTATTATATCCCAAAAAGAAATAAATAATTTACAAAAACTATAAAACTGATAGATACATATGTATAGGTATAGTTAAAAAGACCTTTCAGTATGTATAATAATTAATAATTTGTAAGGTCATTATGTTCATGATTAGTGAAAGGGCTTTAAAAAGATAATCATGAACATTGCACATGTTACACACATATCCAATCGTAACGTTTTTGGAATACTTGCAAGAAAAAAACGCCCAGTTTTTCGCTAACACAACTGTTGTAGCAAAGAAATTTAGAAAACGATTCCAAATGCGCATTAACAGTGACGAATTTATCCAGGATATCAAATTACGACTACTCAATAATGAAGTTAATGCTGGTAATTTCCTAGACATATTGCATAATTTGTAAATTACATAATAATTTTATCTAAAACGAGAAAGTTTAATTTGATTTAAATGCAATACATAATGCATGGACTTTATTAGGCTGTAACGGTAACGGCAATAAGTAATATGATTTTTGTTATTTGTGATTATCAATAATTAATTAATAATTAAAGTGTATGTAGAACTGTACTTGGTGTAAAAACTCTGAAGAACAAAAGTGAATTCCGATTACTCCGTCAGGGATGGATAGATTAACATGTGTTTCCGAGCATTCACCCTAGGGTGGATAAACGGAATAACTCCAAGTTTATCTTACGTCCTTATATAAGGTGTCTTCAACCAGGTCAGGTCGAGTGGTAAATTAAAAAAAAATTAATAATTTAACAATATATATTGAATAAAAATATTCTACTTCTACAATCGATTGATACAATTAAATTTAAAATTAACAAATAAAATTTATAACAATAGGCATAATAAATGAAATAATTCGCAAAATTATTTTAATTAATAACATGTTTATCTATCAACAGCATTGTACCTTTATTATTAAATATGGCCACTTGAATTTGAATATATTTAAGCTATAAATATGTAATTTATTACCTAATAATCTGTTTAAAGAACAACGCAATAAATTAAAAGTACATTACTTCGAGTTAACAAATCTGACATGAACAGACAATGCTTGAGATCATACAATGTCAGTGCTTAGGATGTTTATTCGACTAGACAGAAATATTAATGTCCTCCAGACCGAATTTCAGTCACGGCGGCTCGTCTCAACGGAGACTAGCCATCTACGCAGGACAGGATTATAGTATTCGAGTGTATACGCAACGCGCACAGGTCTATTCCCTCACTTTCATATCCCGGTGGGACGGTAATCCGACACGATTCGGGAAAGGAGCAAGACCAAAGTCATTACGCACTTTCCAAGGTAGTTGGTGTTACATTGCGAACATTCTGAGGGCCTGCTATTGAGAATTTCTTGTCAGAAAAACCCAATTATTGATTTTAACCCTCAACTCACTCACGATCATCATTCGCGTTTCTGACTACTAGACCAAAGAGGCTGTAGAAATAAATACGGTGCAAGTATGAGAATGTTTTAGTAGCCTATTCTGTAGATTCAAATTGATTCTAAATAACACTAATTCTACCTACCTTTTATTCTACAATTGTGCTAGCATTACAGCGGGAATATAATTTTCACTTATTAATAAAATGTCTTTTACATTACGCGTACATTATTGCGTGTCGCTATTTAATATTAACGCTCATACAGAATTTTAGAATCGAAAACTGTTTTACATTCACTACACATAGTGCACGCAGAATTAAAAAAAAAAACATCAAAACATCACTGCGATCGAAGCACTCTATCCCGCTTCTCTTCAAATACATGGCCGATCAATTTTATTTCGAAAATTATAAGTTTAAAAATAAAAGTTTCTTGTATAAAGTCATATTAGATATGTTCTTACACGTGAACAGTGACTCCGTGTGACTTTTTATTTTGCCTGAAGGCATTTAAATATTTAATAAATACAATGAAGGCATGTCAATGTAAAAAATACTTAGAATTATATCCATCCATCCATCTATTTATCCATCCATTGCAGCCTATAAAAGTCTACTGCTGAACATAGGCCTCCCCCATAGATTGCCTCATAAGGGCGATTTTGCAATAGTTGACACGCTTGTCGAGCGGATAGTCAACAGCACTTTTTTTACTATTTTGAGTTGTCATCAGGAAGATGCTGCAGCCAATTACCTGTTTCAATTTCCCTTTGTCGCCTCTCACGACACCTACGGTACGATATGGGGCACTGGATATTCTTACACCGCCAGTTTAAGAAATTAATTAATGTATTAAATAATTTAAAAAATTAATTCTAAGTATTTTTTCGACAACAACATGAAAACGTGTGTAAGCGACAACAGTGCCGACCGCAACAAGTGATATTATTAGTGCGACAGCTACATAGTTTTTGTGGTCCACTTTTTGAAGGTTGGACGCCATCCATATCTTTCCATTTTAGTTTATATTAAAGTATAATATTTAAAAATATTTATAACGTAAAGAAAAAAAGAAAATAGAAAATTTAGAATTGATCAACACTTTTTAAATTCTACTATTTTCAAGTTAACCAATAAATTTCCAAAATTAAACCAAATATAAAAATGTTTGGTTTATACTAACCAAATAAGCGCAATTATAAATTTTTGTATGACTAGAGGTTAAAAATATCAAAAAATATAAAAGTATAATAATAGAATAATAGAATAATAAATTCTTTCAAAAATTTACTTCAACTATCACCAGATCTAGTTGCTTATACATGATTCCATTTTAAAATTCAACTGCGCAGCTAATTATTATGATAAAATAAGTTTACTCTATTGAACTAACTATAATGAACTGGAATATCATTAATAAAAAATATATTATGAAACAACAACTTTGCTTTTCTAGTCAGCATGTTCCTAATCATCATGATTCTTGCACGAAGACCTTCTCCTATTTTGTCTTTTTTGTACTGCTGGATATTTATATTGATAAAATAATGCAGTTACTAACACTCCAGCGCTAAGCAGTGATGAAACTAAAAAGTTTATCATGAGTTTCACATCTGCAGAATCCACATATACAGTAAAAAGACGCGCTGGAACAAAAATACAAAATGTATTTCATTTGACACAGTCTGTAGACATTTACATATTTTGAGCTTCCTAGTAAGTGATTAAAATAACACTATCAGGGTACTCTGCTCTCCCATAGCAAATTTCTAATATTAATATTATTGTATACATTTAGTTTTTTTTATAGAAGAGTACCTATATTATACTATTACTACTATTACTTATTATACTTATGAAATCAAATTATGTATATAATATATTTTTGTAATAGAAATAATATCTTACAATAATCATAGTTTTAAATAAGTATGAAAAGTAAGTAGTAAATATTCAGTTCTTCTACAGGCAGCAGCATCATGTGTGCGAGATATTTGGTTCTGCATTCACCAATCCTCTTGCCTAGCATGCCCATCAGAGCAAGCTTATGTTCAGCAGTGGACTTTACAGGCTGATGAGAAGGAGGATCTAGTTAATTTTTTTTGTTTTAATAATGCATTCTCTGCAAGGTGACATGGATGGGAATCTTTAGGTGAACTAATGGTTTGTACAAGCGTGAATCTAATGGTTTGTACAAGCGCAAACTTCTTGAGAGTTGTGGTAGCTCAGATGGTTAACGCTCGCTGTAAATAAAACAGAATGCGAGTTACCCGGGTTCGATCCCTGCCCTCACCAATGAAATTGTTAATAAATGCAATTTTAAGTGCTGATTTACCACGTGCTCGGCGGTGAAAGAAAATATCGTGAGGAAACCTGCATGTCTGAGGAATAAGAAAAGAAATAATTCGAAGACATGTGAAGTTCGCCAACACGCATTGGGGCAGTGTGCCGGACACTTCCTTGCCCTAAAACCCTCGCAGAAATGAGGGAAGGCCTGTGCCCAGCAGTGGGACGTATATAAACTGTAACTTTACTTTAAACTTCTTCAAGAGCATCTGCGGACACCAACAATTGAATTTGTTTACCCAATGCTCATATTCATATTTTTACTACACCTAACCCTTCAGTTTCTTTCATTTCCCTTAAGATCTCCCTTGAGATACCAGACATCTAACATTTTTTTGAATTTAGTCCAAATAGCAAATCTAAGATGCCATCAGCACAAGCCGTGCAAAATTGTTCTGCACTATTTACTTTATGCATTGATTATACCAAAACCATTTCTTTTAAGGGAGACATAACATCAGGTAGATGGATGGATGCATGTAATTTCTATTCACATTGGCAGTAGTATCTTTTTCAAGCGCATGGTGTGTGGATATTTAAATGTAGTAATAAGTGTTAACACAGAATGTTTTGGTAGTTTTCTAGTAGAGTTGAGTAGTAGGACACTTCATCTGTCGCCAAGCAGCATCAGTGCTGTGTTTCAGTCTGAAGCTACCAAGAGACAGTAAATTTACAGCCTATGAGGCATTTGATCTTGGTCCTTGGTGGTGATGTTGGCTGCAGGTGCTGAACATAGGTTGTGCAAGCCACTTAACATCAGGTTGATTCTACATCCATTTGTTACTTATATTTCAAAAAAATGTTTATATTAAAAGTAAATATATATAGTAACTGTAATAGAGCCGTGGTAGCTCAGATAGTTAACGCTCGCTGTAAATATAACAGAACGCAGGTAACCCGGGTTCGATCCCCGCCGGCACCAATGAAATTGTTAATTGCAATTTTAAGTGCTGATTTACCACGTGCTCAGCGGTGAAGGAAACCTGCATGTCTGAGGAATAAGAAAAAAATATTTCGAAGACATGTGAAGTGCGCCAACAGGCATTGGGGCAGCGTGGCGGACATATCCTTGCCCTAAAACCCTCTCAGAAATAAGGGGAGGCCTGTGCCCAGCAGTGGGACGTATATAGGCTGTAACTTAACTTAACTAACTTAACTTTATATAGTAACCTACATTTTTACTTACACATATTTGTGGAAACTGAAATAATCCATGTTGTCAATGAAACTTCATCAGCATTACCAGCTTTAATGATTCCATAAATGTATGTAACTTTAGCGAATCCGCTGAGAGGTGTACAAAATGGCTGAAATTAGTATTAAAAAAATTGACCATATGTGTGTGTGTTGGGACATAACATAAGGTTCCAAAGTTCTAAATACTACAGCTTTATTTACTTTTCGTTTACTTTACTGGAAAGTAATCTGTCAGGGGTATTTTATGGAGTCTTTTTCTAGATATGTTGCTCATAATATATTACTCAAAAATGTAAATTCAGACAAAAAATACATTTATTTTACATATAAAAAGAGAATACATTTTTTTATTTTACCTTACATATAGGGTATTTAGCTTAGTTTTATAATATTTTTTAATATTAGATCAAGACATGTATTAAAACAATATACTCTTAAATTTTATCTAATTCAGAAACCATACAACTGATTCTGATGAAATTTTGAGTGTAATAATAATAATAAAATTTGACTGACAGACTCAAACTCAAACCTTCGTGAAAGCCGAAAGTGATAAGCAAACAAAATATCTGGACCTGGACTGAAATGTGGGGTGGTCTCTGCAAATGGGCTAATCCCGGTCAGCCTTTCGGGTCATCTGAGGCGACTAGGACTCCGTGACGGACCGCTCCGGGTTAAAATGCAAAAGGCGGTGCCTTTCGATAGCATCCGCATCGTCCGCCGGTTTCTTTCTCTTTCCCCCTTACCCCCGTCCGTTTGGTCTCCCCTGCCGAGGGCTTCAATCTGGTTGGGCTTTTATTTATTTTCGTATTTTTACGTATTTATTTTATTTTATTGATATTTATGTATATTTATCATTTTCATTCACAATTATATATTTATGGAACTCAACCAGATGAGAAAACTATATAGATACCCCATGATAATAATGATGTGTATTTTATTTGCTCTCACAAATTTACACTGCCTTATAATAATACCATTGAAAGTATAACCATTTTAATTTGTGAGAGCCTGGTGTTAGTAGTAGGAAAGACCTCTATGACTAATCACCAGACTCTCGTCCCTTAATGTAACATTTATCTACATATGTTTAACTTTAGTACACTTCATGCGACAATATGATTTATAGTTATTGTTTTTGTAATTAAGGTTACAATAAAAAGAAATAAAAAACTATTTAAAAACTAAAAACTAATTTATATGTAAGTGCATGTACGTGTGTGTGTGTGCTTGTGAGTGTATGAGAGAGAGAGAGAGTGAATGTGTATGTGTGTGTGTTAGTATAAATCACCAGTTTGAAGCTGTGGCGGATCGCTAGTACATATAATATAGGAGTGAATTAGCCTGGCATTGTTCTCTCTCTGTTTCATCACAATTGTTCAAGCCATTTTGAAGATAGTTATTCATATCTTAACAGCATGTGCTTAAAAAGGCAGTTATTTTGATATTACAGTCTAACAATTCAATTCTATTTATATGTATGGAAAATGGTTATAATATGGATGTATAGATGAATGTTTTAAATAATTAGCACTTACCACCATATAAGACAAAAGATTTCTTGAGAAAAAACCAAGAGCAAATCCCAATACTGATGCAAAATATGTAAAAATAGCAAATGTTATGATAGGCCTCCACAACAACCTTCGGTACTTAAGAACATAATAAAGTAAGACGTACACTTGCAGTAATATTATTGGATACTCCAAATATGTCATTATACTATAACTGTTAGTGAAATTATAAAGTGTCACAATGGAGAATCTGAAAACCAAAAGCATACAATTGTTTTTACACCAGAATTTCATGTGTAAACATAGTTTGTAAAAATTTATAATAGGTACTATAAATTATAATACAGTGGATTTCATTAATAGCGACCTCGGTTGTAACGACTTTTCGGTTATAGCGACGTCAAACTTACGTCCCTTGAATTTAAAGCATACTTTTGTAAGAAATTCATTCGGTAATAGCGACTTCGGTTATAGCATCAATTTCGGGTATAGCAAATTGTTTTTATGAACCATTTATGACCAATTCCTAGAAATCCCTTGCGGATATTGGCACTGAGTCCGCAAAGGCACAAAGACTCATTCATAAAACTATTAAGCTTTCTTATCCTTTGTTTACATTCACAGATGGTCAAACTAATGCTTTCTTTGTATGTAGGACTACATAGCATGTTTACGAAGTTAAACTTGTGAAGAAAAGTGTCAGACATAGCAATTCCAGTGAGTGCACAGTGTTTCTTAAACTTGTGAATATGGCTCCTAGACGTACATTTACTGTTAAAGAAGAAGTGGACATCATTTCTAGACTGCAAAATGGAGAAAACCATGTTGATCTGTGTAAACAATTTGGAGTTTCAGATTCTACAATATCAACGATGTGGACAAATCATGCTAAAATTATGGAGTGTTTTGAATCAAAATCCCTGAAAATAAAGAAAAATGGTAATCCAACTCATCAAGATATTGAAAATGCTCTCTTAGTGTGATTTAAAGCTCAGAAAAGCCAAAATGTACCCATAAGCGGTCCTCTTTTGCAAGAGAAAGCTAATCATTTTGCCAGACATCTCGGGAAAACAAACTTTGTGTGTTCAGAAAGCTTAATTTACAGATTTAGACAATGTCATAATATAGTGGTCAGTAAAGTTTGTGGAGGAGCCGCCAGCGTGAGAAAAGTGTGCTGGCGGCAAACTATCAAAAGATAGAATAACCGCGCTTATTGCTTCAAGTATGGCAGGCGAAAAACGAAAATTGCTGGTTATGGGGAAGTTGAAAAAACCAAAGTGTTTCAAGAATGTAAAAACTTTGCCAGTTGATTACAAAGCCAACAAAAAAGCATGAATGACATCGGAGATTTTTGAAAAACTTTTACGGAAATGGGACTCTCAGCTAAGAGGAAACAAAAGAAGATCATTTTATTTATTGACAATTGTCCAGCTCACCCACAAATTCAAAATTTGACTAACATCAAACTGGCATTCTTACCACCGTGTTTGGTGGTCAGATCAGTTATTCAGCCTATTTATCAAGGTATAATTAAGACTCTTAAAGGCCATTATCGAAAGCTTCTAGTGGAGAAAATGGTAAACGACATTGAAAAAAGTACTACCCCATTTGCCGTCAATCGTCAGACAACAACAGTATGGGCACGAGTTACTCCAGACACAATAAAAAAATGTTTTTCACATGCTGGGTTTTGTTAATTTTTTGAATTTAAATACAACTGATGACGATTCTGATGATGAATTGGACAATTTGTCATTGGCGAGATTATCATCAGCGGAAGCAACAGTTATGGATTGGGAAACTTATGTGAATACTGACGATCAAGTTATCGCTACTGATAACTTGACTGATAATGAAATTATTGAGTATGTGCTTCAAACACAAGAAAAGGAGGATGAAGATTGCAATCTAAGTGAGATTTCAACAACTAGAGATGCATTATATGCTATAATAACGCTCAAAATGTACTGTTTATTTGGTGAAGGCCAGAATAATTTAGATGTTGAAGGAATTATGAAAATGGAATACACCTTACAGAGTGGACAAAAAACTAAACTTAAACAGTGCACTATAACACATTTTTTCAATAACACCCGTGTATAACATAATTAAATAAATGATAAGTAAATATGTACATGACTTTTTATTATTTCGGATATAGAGACCTCCTGATATAGCAACGACATTAAAGTGGTCCCTTCTCCGTCATTATAACCGAAATTCACTGTATTTACATTTTATATCTTTTAAAGAACCATTTTAATATGAACCTTAATCTTAAAGATGGTTAGCACTCTTGGTGAATTCCACAGTATGTGAGCATTTGGTTTGATCTTTGGGTTTGATCCCTGCTGGTACCAATAAAATTATTACTTGCAATTTTAAGTGCTGATTTACCACCACATGTTCAGTGGTAAAAGAAAACATCGTGAAAAAACCAGCATGTCAGAAATAAGAAAAAAGTATTTTGAAGACACGTGAAGTATGCCATCACAAATTTGGGCAGCGCAGCGGACACTTCCTTGCCTTATACACCTCTCAGAAATTGGGGGAGGCTGTGCTCAGCAGTGGGACATATATAGGCTATAACTTTGAACCATTAATAATTTGTTAGCTAATGGGCTTTTGTTGAGCTCAATTAAGTCAGCCACTTACCATCAGATGGGATTGTAGTCAAGCACTGGCTTATCATAAAAAAATTAAAAATAAAATTTGGGTTCAGCATTTTAGAATTTTTACTGTCAATTTTGGCCAGTGCTTTAATTAACATGTTCAGTTTAGCATAATATAAAAATAAGATAACAATATTAAACCAGACATGAGTAAAATTCTTTACATACCCTATAATTTCCATTAGCATTGCTTGAATATATATGCTCTCTGCGGACTGCTTCTGCCTGATGTATATGATTTGTGGCACTTTTAAAAATAAACACGATAAAATAGTCAATGTGCTTAGACTATTAGCGAGATATTTAACCAATTGTTCAACCATTCTGATTATTACTGATGAATTCTAAAATCAAAAATATTTTGTTACCAATTAGCACATTAATAGCAAGGTTATGAAAAAAATATATGAAATAATACTTGGCAAGGGTTTCAGGCGTGCTCAATCAATCTTCATCAAAACATTCACAGAACACTATTACAAAACTTCACTAAACTACTAACAACCTAACAAGGTCAAAAAGATCGAGTAAATCACACGAAATTCGGCAAACATGACAACTTGTCAACAATTGTAACATCAATGCAACCCACAGAGTACTTTTTTATATATAGAAAATGCAACCGCCGGTTTTCTGTAAACACTCTACTCTATGCCGCCGGGCAGCGTTGCCATTTACACGGCAATTGCCAAGTACACGGCAGCATATTAATTGCCATATTCTAAAACACGGCAAAACAATGGTTACTAATACTTTCAAGACTCGCGCGGACCGCCGTAGCGAACGGACGCGCGCAGCGGAAAGCTCCCGAGAGCCGATCCGCGCACTACCCACGCACTGCGTGTGGTATCTTGAAATTTTGTGCGGTTCTTAAAACAATCCACATTGGAACGAGACTTGAAGTGAATAGAAAGTGAAAAATCATGAACTGTGAGGACCCCGGGGGGAGCACCTCCTGGGATTCACCAGAAGAAATGAGACAGGCAACACCCAACAGAATTAGTGAATCAAGAGTAATAGGAAACATGCTCTCGAAAAACAACAGTGAAAGTTCACACAACTCTAATGATATGGACACGGATCTACTTAGTCTAGACAAGAACAGTAAACAAGTGAAAGACAAAGTGAAAAAAGTGAAAATGGACCTCAATGAGTTCAATAAAAATATAATACAGTGCTGGAAATGCGAACAATACTTCCAAACGGACGCCTCCCTGTGGGGTACTAATCAAATGAACACGAGGAAAATCCAATGTTTCTCATGCACGCACAACGAACGAGGTTAGAGCCGACGAACGGCACATGCAAGCCGCTCGCTGCCCGGACCGCCCCCTGCCTCACCTCAGTGGAACGACACAGCGTGCGAGCGTCTACGCTAGTGAACAAAAGAAACGACACCATCGTCCAAAGCCATCCGACCACGGCGCGTACTTGCGCGACCGAAACAACTCAGAGTTTGGCCGCCACATGTAACACCAGCGCACGGACAGGCAAACCGAGGCATACTCGGAAACAATCTATGATATACCGTTAGCAAACAGATTTGAAACGCTACAAAACGAAAATAGAGGAATAAAAAGACAACGCACCGGCACAGATAAGTTCGTGACGACCGCACAGAAAAACACACATATCCCTAATAATTAGGGATGAAAAAATAATGAAAGCATCGTCAGATTTATAAGAGAGGCGACATCAACAAATAATTCAACGCTTAGAGTGACGAACGGACAAATAAAAATCAACCCGGGGAGCTCAGCAGCCCGGGAAGACATTCTCACGAAAATCCAAGTGTGCGAACCATCAAGAATAATAGCACCAAAACCGAAAGCTGACAGATAACCGGCGACAAAAGTGGTACTGAAAAATGAAAAATACGGTGAGGAACCCGACACAATCACAGAAGAGATAGCGGAATGCATTGGCACCGATATCAATAAAACCGCTAGGAAAAGCAGGTAAACAACACCTCTTGATTTTTGAAAATAAATATAAACAAAAAAGCGTCCTGAAAGCATTCAAAACTGCTGATAGGAAGTTCTTCTGCGCCCCTTCCATAAAATTAGAACCATTCAGAGAAAACCCGAGACACGTAGTGCAATGCAAGAAATGATACGCATTTGAACACTCGAAACAGTCTTGCTGCGACAGACAAGAAGATTTTGATCACAGATCAAAATCAATACACCCGAGGGCACTACGACGATGGTCTGCAAAAACTGTAAGTAAAAAGGACACGGCGCGAACAACGCTACCTGCCCAATATTTCAAAAAATGATATCCAAACAAATGGAACAAGTGAAAGCCAAACAGACTAAACAAGAGAATCAGACGTGCGACAGTCAGACCTGGAGTCAGATATGCGGATATCTCAAGCAAAAGACAATTCCACGTCTTGCCACAGAAGGAGCCGACACTATCACAGGAAGAGCAGGCAATGTTATCAATGATGAACGAAACAAACATAGAAAGCTTCCACCTAAGACTGGAGCGAACAGAACAACTACTAATGAAGCTCATAGAAACCATGAATAACACATAACGACAGACCAATGGCTAATCACGACCAAAAAAGAATACAGAACCTCAAAATCCTACACCTAAAGGCACAAGGACTGAGAAATAAATTCATTGAAGTAAAAAAAAGCTGGCAGAAAAATACAGGCCAGCCATAATAGTGATAAACGAATGAAAAATCGACTTTGACAAGGAGAAGTTTAACATGAAAGAATACGATAAAATCACACACTCGCTTAAAACCCACTTAACCACGGCCATGTACATACAAAGGGGGCTAAGATGGACCGAAACAGAGGTCACACCGGGGTGGGGAGAGTTGAGAAGAGAAATTGAAGGCGTGGGCATCAAACTGTTCACAGACCACGTGACCGGACAATACATAAAAATAAAAGGGACCTACTTTCAAATCCCAAATCAACACCAAGCCAGAGAAGCTTGAAGAAACTTTATATTGTTCACAGGCTACTTTGTGCAGAAAGATGCACATGGAAAACCGGCATGTGCATCTTTCTGCACAAAGTTGGCAAAGATCATCGCCAGGCACTATCGTACCGCCCGATTACACTGCTCAACATAAGGGGCAAACTGTGCGAGCGACTGATCCTGAGACGACTCACCGCCACGGTGGACCGGCTGCAACCACCGTTCTAACACGGCTTCACAAGGGCCAGAGGCACAGCTACCCAGATCCTTCGCACCGGTAAAATAATCACAGATGCCCTGGCCAACGGCGACAGCGTCTCCATGATATCAACAGATCTCTCGAAAGCCTTTGACTCGATTAACCACAAAGGCTTGATCAAAAAGCTACAAGACAAAGACGTATCCACTAACATCACAAAAATTATAGAAAACTACCTTGCAGGCAGACAACTGAAAGGCAGGTTTAGAACAACTGAAACAGAGGAGAAACCTATACTCCGTGGCGTGCCTCAAGGATCGATCCTGGGACCGGTGATTTTCAACCTGTATGTCCATGACATCTGGGACATACATGACAGAATTAAGGGGCTCAAACTCTCACAGTACGCGGATGACCTCTGCATTCTCAACAGAGCCACAAACCCAGACCATGCAACCATGCGATCGGAATGGGCAGCAGAAACCATTATTAACTACTATACGAGATGGGGGCTCAAATGCAACATAGAGAAAACCGAGTGCATTATGTTCTCAAAGAAAAGTAAATACCGCCCAGCGGTGAAATTAAAACAACAGATGCTACCATACCAAAACCAGATCAAATACCTCGGCGTGGTCTTCGATAAACGCATGAGAATGAATCAACACACCGAAAAGGTAGTGAAGAAACTGAAACGGGTCAGCGGAGCCCTTGGCCCGATAATTGGATACTACGCAAAAACAGATCTAGAAACCAAACTGGCCATAATACAGGCCTGCATTCTGCCACTGCTGGGCTACGGAGTGGTCCAACTGCTATCGAGGTACAGCGCGACGAACCTGAGTAAAATCGAAAGACACTACAGAATGGCACTCAAGAGTGCTGCCCAACTACCGAAAAGAATATCCACAGAGGCGCTATGGGAGATGGCTGACATAGAAGCCTGCACCTACGTGCCGAGGACATAAATCAGAAGATGTTGGACAACATTGCCCAGCTGGAAATAGAAGACCTAGAATCCCCCGGTGACGCCTACCTGGCGCACGGAGAATTCAATCCCCTCAGGACCAATCATAGAATAGGTGAAATTGTATATGATCCCAAAAAGAAAAATTACAAGCGATGGCCCACCGATAACACGGGAGCCCCGCGCCCTCTTAGGATAAGGTAATTAAGGCTAGCAAATAAGTACACAAAAACAAATGAAATACATAATAATTTTATTGTATAAACTTTATTATGAATAAGCAAAACACAGCAAACACAGATCCACCTAGGACATAAGGTAGCTGACTCACCCTCCCACGGTTCACCGGCCGTGAGGATGCAAATATAAATACACAAGTAGGCAAATAAATAATTTTTGATTCTGATTAATACTTTCAAATTTTTTTTATCAGTAGTCGATAAGTCATTATAACGCACATCACTAGACTACACCAGACGTAGTCATGACTCTATGAGTGGGGAAATCACAACGCGAATTTGACATACATCCGCACACACTTCATTGTTTGTGGTATTAAATTCATTGTTTTGTTTTTTGAAAAGTACATTAACCTCTCAGGCCAATTAAAATTCTCATGCAGTCGCATGCGCCCGGCAAATCCCGAGCGGTCGCATGCGACGGCACCCACCACACTTAAAACCATTAAAATTTATATTCTTCATAGAAAAGTAGTATCTATATTTAGGTTTTTATGGATTAAAGTGCTGCGGGTGGGTGCTACCTCATGAGACCGCTAGGGATTTGACGGAATATGGCCGCGGTCTCATGAGACCGCTTGGGAGCTGAAGGTTTAAAAAATATACTGCTATTTATTTACTTTATTTAACTGTACTAGCTAAGCACTTCATCTGATCCCAAGGAAATTGTGTAAATTTCGAACCGACAAAACAAACGATAGACAATGTGAAAGAAAATAATAAATATAAATTGATCAAAGGCGAGGAAGAAGTTTTGGATACGATGAGAAATTTGTATGATGACTGTGAAGAGTAATGTTTGTATGTCATGTTTAGTCTTGCGCGTTAATTTAAAATAAA